TTCTAACCCTTTTTCTTCCCAAACACTAGTCATCTTTGAAAACAGAAAAATGCAACATGAGAATAGAAATCACCTATAATTACAAAGCATCCTCTATCAGAAATATTTACTATTAAGAATAGTTTACTTTGCTTCACTCTAATCATTTTGCTATGCAGATTACATTTCTATGCAAATTGTTATTGAGAATCATATACTCTCTATGTGATGCTTTCAAAACAGCTTATTACTCTTGAGAATACATTGAAACTATATTCCTATTTTTATAAATACTATTTTTGGTGGTGTCATACTATTATGGCATTTGAATAGATTATTCATATTTAATAAATAACCATCTATATATATAAAAGGTTAATATGCAAAGTGTCTCCTCGGGAGTTCGAACAGAAGACCGGGAGTTTGATCGCTTGCTATGAAATGTGCTAACCACCAGGGGGCAGCGTGGAAACATGTCAGGTGACCAGCAGTGGTGGTGGGGTGCTAAAGGAGTGAGGGAAGGAGGAGGCAGGGAGGTGGGGAACCTGATCAGCCCTGATCACCAGCCAGGCCAAGAGACCCTACCTGTGCACAAATTTCAGGCACCGGGCCTCTAGTTATTGTATATTTAGATTATTTTATGCTGGTGTTTTCCTCCCATAAAATTTTCAATGTATCCTAAACTCCCAGTGAGGTATTTAAATAGTAGGACTGAGCTGTTTCCCAATGCTAGATGTTATCACTTTTTTAAAAAATTTTATTACTCACATAGAAACCTATACCAGCCTAGATCTCTTAGTGGCTACCACTAGTGGGGCCCTCATTTAGCTCCACACTGGCCATGTTACAGGAACAAGAGGTAAATTACTGTGTTAAGTTTTTGATATTTAGGGGCTGTTTGTTACTTCAGCATAACCTAGTCTGTTCCTACTGCTACATTTACAATATTTTTCCAGTGCTTTAAATTTAAATTTAATTAATAGTGCTTTTACTATATAAAAGTATGATGGCAAATATCTTGAGCTTTTTCAAAATTTGTGGGTTCCCCCTTTGCTTTTACTAATTAAAAGCTTTTTGCTAAGTAACAATGAGATAACCAACCATTCACCTATGTGTCTTCCTAATGCTTTTATGGCTTTGGTTTTTATATTTAATTATTCTTTTCTACCCAGCATTGTTTTTCCTAATCGCTGGATTAACGTATACTTGAAGCAATAAATTGTGAAAAATGTAACAATGAACAAATGAAATAAAGACAAAAATCATGTTATTTAGCATCCAAAGATAACCAGTGCTAACTACTAAATTAGTAGGTTGTCGGTAAATCTTTTTCTTGTGCAGAGACATACATTTGAGTGAATAAATGGAATAATACTTTATGTAAATTTTTGAAGCCCACTTTTCAACTACATAAAACATAAATGTTTTCAGATAAATACTTTTTTAAAATGTCTGCTTAGTATTTTGTTAAGTGCATATACCAAACAATTTTTTATTTAAAACAAATTTTTTTCCAGATTGTCAGTCTCTTGCACTGCAGTCTCAGTTAAAAAAAAAAAAAACACACATAAAAAACTGTAAAATCAAAACTAATAAACACTTAAAAATGTAATTTTTAATTCATTAACCAGGGGTCTTAAAATTGTTCCAATGTTTCACTATTATAAATAACAGTGCAAAGACTATCCTTATTACATATGCCAGGTAGCCATGAGAAGGACAATGGGGCACCCACTGGATCCTGGTGTTAGCAATGGAGTGCTGCTCCTTTGAAGATTCACCACCATCTTCAGATCTTACATTCTTCTGTCTTCATATCCCTGCCCTACTCCCCTTCCCTTGCCTGGGGTGTTGTTATCTAGCCCACATGTAGAAAATGTAGGATCTCTATCCACCTGATTGATTTGATTCTCTCTTTGGTCTTGTTTTTAATTTATTCCAGAAATATTATTATGACTTGTGTTCATCATTTCAGAAAGCCTCCTTTGTGTACATTTTTATTGCCCCAATCTTATTCTGGTAACATACCTCATGTCTAATTAGTTCCATATATTTCAATAGCAGATGATAGTCTGGCTCAGCTTAATTACAGCTATTGATTCAAGATAATGATATAATGGTGATAAAAAGACCACATCTTTTTTTTTCATATTTTGAAATTTACTATAAGCTCTTCTGTAGCTCAAAGAGGATCCTGTTTTCATTGCTCAGTTCTGATGTGTCAAAAATCACATTTTGGTATTATTTTTTGCCCAGCTGGCTGTGTGAGCTTTTAGATTACAATCTAATCTGTTTTATATACTTTTTTAAACCTAATTCTTGGCTTTACTCCAAAATTAGATATACTGAATACAGGTTTAGTTGCTAATTCTCTTGAACATCAGTACAACAAAATAGAGGCAATATTTCTCTTTGTAGTCTCTTCTCAAGTTCCAGGGATAACTGGTATAGTTTGCAGTAATGCCAGGAAAATACATTTCTTAGTATCCCACTGTTCATAGATTTCTTAAACATCATCCAGTAAAGCAAAAAATAAAGGGATGGACAACTGCCCTATAAGAAGAGCCAAAAACAATTGGCAATCCTATATAATAAAAGGCTAATATGCAAATTTTCCCTTCAACTGGGAGTTTGACCAGGGGGCAGGACTGACCAGCCAACTGCCAGGGCCCCTCCCTCCTGCCAGACCCCATCCATGCATGAATTTGTGCACCAGGCCTCTAGTATATGTATAAAATATATGTAAAAAATAATCTACATATTATATTGAAATGTCTCCAAAAATAAAAAGATTCCATTTAAATTCAACTGGTGGATTCTGCCCAATATTCCTCTAGTTTGAAAAGACTATTTTTTTTGTTTTTTTGTCTTCTATCTCATATGCTAAAGGACACCTATTTAGGTTATACTACACAAAGTTTGTGTCTAAATCACTGAAAGTGAGCGAGGCTTACTCTTGTCTCCCTGACTCATGTTCAAAGGGTGTCCATAGAATTACGTTTGTGAACTGATGAATACTGGCTACATTAGCTTTAGTTTGAACATAGTTTACCTGATAAAAAATATATAAACAAAGTTGAACAAAGGAAACCATGTAGTTACAGGCAGATCAGCACATATCTTTCTCTGTGGCAATGGTTGGTGCAGTCCTTTCTTTTCCATCTCCCAGAGGAATAATTACTCAAGTTCTGCTTTCTGCTCACCTGCCTCCTCATGTCAAATTTGGCATCTCTATTGCAAGATAATTGCTGCCTAGAATATTCAATTAGCTTTTAATTAAATATTGCTCATTATAACTGCAAGACAATAAAACATAAGTCATTTGATTAGCCAAAAATTCAAATATAAATTACATTCATTTTTATGCCAACATGCACTTTACCTAATGAGACATTTGTCGTCCTGTTATAAAAAAGAGTGTATGTCATCTTATTTTCTTTTAGGATTTTTGTAATGCCTGCAAGTAAAGTTTAAATATTACATACAACAATTCATATTCTTTTCTTTATCTCTGCATTAACTATGTAGGACAGAAAGTTATATACAGTTACATACAATGAAACTTCTTCATAACAGCAGGTGTTTAGATATTAACTTAATCCCTAATTTTTGACTATGTCACTTTATATATCAAAATTTATTATCTGATAGAAGAGAGATGTCTTTTAACTTAGTAATGTATTATTTCTGATTGTAACAGTCATATATAATTATATAAAAACTTTTGAAAAGAGAAAAGAGAAACCTATTAATCGATAGATGTATTTTCTTCAGTTCTTTCTTTCTAAAAACTTTTTTCTGTTTCTTACTCTGCTTTTTAAAATTAAAGTTATAGTATATATTGTAACATTTAATTCTCCTTTTAAAATTTAATATTATACTGTGACCATGTACCATGTCACTAACTACCCTGAAAAGAAAAGCTACATAATATCCCATCATATAAATCAAGTATGATTTTTGGACATTAGGGTTTTTCCATTGATTGTTCACTAATATAGGTACAAGTTAGACAAATATATTTATGCCTAGATCTTGACCACATCTCTGCTGATTTCTTTAGAATTGACTTGCAGAAATGAAATTATTGGGTCAGAAGTATTAAAGGAATATTGTAGTCTCAACTCCTTGTGTCTTTACAGGATTTGGACAGACCAGGTACAAACACTTTCAGCCTCTGTGTAGACCTTGAATTTGATCTTCCCATGGGAAGGTTGATTGACAGGGTTGGAGAATTGGAGGGAGCTGATATCCTCTGATATAGGTATGGTTTCTGTGATGTGCACTCCACCACACTGCCACCACCACAACCCCAGCAAGGAGAGACTACTATTTAAAGTGTCAGAACCTTAAGAGATATAGAAAGGATTTTGGCAGTAGGGATCAGAGCTAGTAGAACCCAAGGTCTAGGATTGGAAAGAGGAAAAAAAGCCCCAAATTCTCTGATACATTTTACTTGATGAGCCTCAACTTTGGAACACTTCGTGCTCCTTGATTCAGTTTGGGACTCTATCCACAAACCCAAGTGGACAACAGGGGCAATTAGCAGGATTCAGGCAACAAACTAACTCTTCACTAAACCTCCAACAAAATGTTATAAAGCAGGAGCGCAGGGAATATATGACAATAAGTTCACACTCTGAAACATTCTTTCTTATAATGCATAGCAGTGATAGAGAAAAATATGAAAGCAAGCAACAAAATAAGTGAAAACTGTTCAAAAACAGCAGATAAGTGTACTCAGATAATACAAAGAAACGCAAAATGGGAGCTGGGCTCTGTCTAGATCAAGAAATAAACAGGAGTAATTAGAAATTTAGTTCCTATGAATTAATGGGGGATAAAAATGATATATTGGTCTGGGCAGGAAATCTGAGCAAAACCCACTGCCTAAGACAGGGTTTGGTGAAGGATCTCCAATTCATGAAAGCAAGCTAACACTATCTACTATCTGCCTAGGACTGCAGATTATGGAATCCATGGGAGGACAAAAGAATAGGTGAAACAAATTCCAAACAATGCTTAGAGAGACATTTAATAAGCTTAGTATGAGCATGAATTTATCCCAAGTGGAACTAATTTAATAAAAGAGTCTGAATTACTTTTAAATAAATGGGTCCTTCAATGACAAAAGTAAAGGAAATATAGTCATAAAAGAGAAAATGAAATTATAAAATAAAAGTAAGAAGAAATTTTAAAAGGACCAATGAACATAGAAAATAGAAATCTTAAAAAAAAATGAGCATAAAAACCTTTTAAAATCAATCAATAAGATGAATTCTAGAAAGGATAGATAGAGTTGAAGAGTGAATTAACTAATCAGAAAATAGTCTAAGGATTCATCAAAAGCACAGCAGTGAAGACCGAAAAAATTATGCACACATACACATATGTGCATGTTCATATATACCTGCACATACACATGCATGCATAAGTGTAGAGCAGTAACAGACATGGAGGAAAATTTTGAGAAATATCAACTTTTGTCTAATAGGAATCCCGCAGACTAGAGAAAGAGTAGAGGAGCATTTTTTTGGAGGTTAATGCCTGGAATTTTTCCAGAATTGAAAGCATATGTCCTCAGATAAAACATGGACTTCAACTGCTAAGATAAATTCAAAATAAATTCATATTTAACTACAGAGTAGAATTATGAAACATCAAAAAAAATCTTAAAAGCTACCAGAGAGAAAAGATATATTATTTGAAAGAAACACTAAGATTGACAGCAGATTTATCATTTTCAAAAGAAGATTTCAGAAGATAATAAGATCTTAAAAGCATTGAGGGATAATAACTGTCAGTCTTGTTCTTATTTTTATTTATTTATTGACTTATTTATTTATTTTGGTTTGTTCTTCTACAATCTCTGCAACATTTAAATGTTGAAACATTTCAGGGCCCAATTCTTGGATCTCTTCTTTCTTTATCTCTTCTTATGCTATGAACTGGCAGTATCATCGGTGTGTCCAAGAATTCTGTTTCAGTTACCTATTGTTGCATAACAACAACCTGGACAAAATAGATAAATTCCTAGAAACACAATCTTCCAAAACTCAATAAAAAAGAAGCAGATCTAAATAGGCCAATTACAACTAATGAAATCAAAGCAGTAATCAAAAAAACCCCAACAAACAAAAGTCCTGGACCAGGTAACTTCACAGGTGAATTCTACTAAACATTCAAAGAACTAACACCTATCCTTCTCAAACTATTCCAAAAAATTCAAGAGGAGGCGAGACTCCCAAGCTCATTTTACAAGGCCAGCACTATCCTAACTCCAAAACCAGATAGGCACTATAGAGAAAGAAAGTTATAGGCCAATATCCCTGATGAATAAATCCTCAACAAATATTAGCAAACTGAATCTAGCAATACATTAAAAAGATTATGCACCACAATCAAGTTAGATTTATTTTGAGGACGCCAGGTTGATACAATATCTGCTAAACAATAACTATGATACACCACATAAACAAATTGAAGGATAGAAATCACATGATCATATCAATATATAGAGAGAAAGTATTTGATAAAATCCAGCACCCATTTGTGATAAAAACTCAGCAAAGTAGGACAAGATGGAACATAATAAAGGCCATATAAGACAAACCACAGCCAATATCATACTCAATGGGCAATAACTAAAAGCATTTCCCTTACAATCAGAAACAAGACAGGATGTCTGCTTTCATTACCCCTATGCAATGTAGTACTAGTTAGAGCAAGAGACAAGCAGAAGAAATAAAAGACATCCAAACTGGCAAAGAAGCAAAACTGTCATTATTTGCAAATGACATGATACTGTATATAGAGAACCCTACAGATACCACCAAAAAATTACTAGAACTGATAAATAAATTCAGTAAAGTAGCAGGATACAAAACAAATCCCCAGGAATCAGTTGCATTTTTATACACCATCTAGTGGCCCAGTGCATGAAATTTGTGCACAGGGGAGGGGGCGTTCCTCAGCCCAGCCTGTACCCTCTCCAATCTGGGACCCCTCGAATGATGTCCTAACTGGCCCCCCTGCTGGTCTGCTTACCTCCAACGTCCCCACCCCCCACCAGCCTAGTCACCCACAACTGCCCTCCCTCCTTGGCCTCTAACCACCTCTTCCTTGGCCCCGCCACCATGGCTTTGCCCAGAAGAATGTCCAATGCCTGCCAGCCTGCTCACCCCCAACTGCCCCTTGCCAGTGGCCTGCTTGCCCCCTAATGCCCCCCCACCAGTCTATTTTCATTAGTATAGATAGAGGACTGGTGCACGGGTGGGGGCCGGCTGGTTTGCCCTGAAGGGTGTCCTGGATCAGGGTGGGGGTTCCCTTGGGGCATGGGGCTGCCTGGTCAAAGGGCCTGACGTGGTTTTCAGGCCAGCCACACCCCTATGGGTGAGGGTTCCCGCTGGGGGTCATGGCCAGCATGGGTGAGGGGCTGAGGCTGTTTGCCAGCTGGCCATGGTCCCGGGAAACCCAGACTCCCAGACTCTCCTTGAGTGGAGGCCACAGCAGCTGGAAGCAGGTATCTGGGATTTATTTGTCTTCTATATTTGAAACTTTGTAGCCTTGAGCAGAGCCCACTGCCGGCCAGGGCAGGCAGGAAGCTTGACTTCCTCCATTGCTGGAGGCAACCTAAACTTCCTATTTGCTCCAGCTCTATGGCCGCCGCCATCTTGGTTGGGTTTATTTGCATACTTGCTCCTGATTGGCTGGTGGGCATAGCTTGTGGGCGTGGCTTGCAAGTGTAGTGAAGGTATGGTCAATTTGCATGTTTCTCTTTTATTAGATAGGATAATGAGTTACCAGAAAGGGAAAGTAAGAAAACAATCCTGTTTACAATTGCATTTTTTTTAAAAAACAAACACAAAAACCTAGAAATAGCTCAGGCAATCAATGATTGGCAGCCAATCAATGATTCTCATCATTGATGTTTCTATCTCTCTCTTCCTTCCTCTCTGAAATCAATAAAAATATATTTTTTAAAATTCTAGAAGGAAACATAGGCAGTAAAATCTCAGACATTTCTCTTAGTAATATTTTTTTTCCGATATATCTTTTAGGCAAGGGAAACAAACAAACAAAATAAACACATGGCACTATATCAAACTAAAAAGGTTTTTCACAGGAATGAAAAGCACCAGCAAAATGAAAAGACAACCCACTGAATGGAATCACATGTACCAATGATACACCTGATAAGGAGTTAATATCTAAAATTTATTTAAAAATTATGCCCATCAGTAGATGAGTGGATTAAAAAACTGGTACATCTACACAATAGAATACTATGCTGCATTAAAAAAAAGGAGTTCTCAACCAAAGGACTTATATGCATGCATATAGGCCTTACCAATGGACATAGACAACAGGGGGTGAGGGCATGAGTGGGGGGGATAGGAGGGTAATGTGGGGAAAAGGACACATATGTAATAACTTAATCAATAAAGAAATTTAGGAAAAGAAATTATAAAACTCAACACACACACACATACACACACACAATCCCATTAAAAGTGGACAAAAGTCCTGACTAGACACTTCTCCAAAGAGGACATATAGATGCCCAATAGACATATGAAAAGATGCTCAACATCACTAATCATCAAAAAGATGCGAATTAAAACCACAACGAGATGTCATCTCATACCTGTCAGAATGGCTATCATCAATAAATTAACAAACAACAAGTGTTGCCCAGGATATGGAGGAAAGGAAACCCTCACACACTGTTGGTGGTAATCCAGATTGATGCAGCTACTGTGGAAAGTATGGAGCTATGTCAAAAAATTAAAAATGGAACTGCCTTATGACCCAGAGATTCCACTTCCAGGAATATATTCAAAGAAACCTAATACACTAATTAAAAAAATATATATGCACCCCTATATATGCTGCAACATTATTTACACTAGCCAAGATTTGGAAGCTGTCCAAGTGCTCATCAGTAATTGAATGGATAAAAAAAGCTGTGGTACATTTCCACAACAGAATACTACTCAGATTTTAAAAAAATAAATCTTACCTTTTTCAGCAACATGGATGGATCTGGAGAGCATTGTGCTAAGTGAAATAAGCCAGTCATAGAAAGACAAATATCATATGCTTTCACTTATATATGGAATCTAATGAACAAAATAAACTAATAGACAAAATAGAAACAGTCTCATAGATATAGAAAACGGACTGACAGCTCAATCCCTACTGGAGATGGAGCCTGCAACCCAGGCATGTGCGCTGATGGGGAATCAAACCATGACCTCCTGGTTCATAGGTTGATGCTCAACCACTGGATCACACCAGCCGGTGCAAGTGGAATTTTGGTAATTGATGTAGCTGCTCATGAAAACACAATAAAGCAACCTGATTTACACTGCGGGATTAAAATGCTTAGAATGGGGGCACCGGGGATAGCTGAAATGAAGAGAAATAATGAAAATTATATAATGTAAATAGAAAGACTGGTTGAAAGGGTTTAAAAGCAGTTCCCCCAGATCCTCTCAAAGGTCTTTTTAGGATTGTGTGAATAATATATCTGAAGCACATAGAAAAGTGCCTGGCACAAAGCAAGTGTTCTAAATACGTTTGCTATTATTACTCCATAGTAAGAAGCTAATAAAGAATTCTACAAAAAAAGTGGAGAAGTACCAATATTAGCATACCATATAAAGGGAGATAAATACTAAAGGGCTCATCTAAAAATATTTAAAGTTGTTTCACCTAGGTGGAGGGAAATACGGTGTTACTAGATTTTTTTATTGGAAGCCTTATGGAAGATTTGCCTCCACAATTGTGTTATAAATAAAAACCTAAAGGAAATAAGTAATAAAAGGCAGGGAAACTGTCTGGTATACTGGCAAATATTCCCCAGAAGAAAGTTGGTATAACAATATTTATACCAGATAAAATAGAATTCAATTATATAAGAGGGATAAAGAAAGGCATTACATAATTACAAAAGTATAATATTTTCGAACGTGTGTGTTCCTAGCAGCATAGCTTTACAGGAGATGAAGCAAAAACTGACAGGATTATAGGAAGAAATGTTTTTTAAAACATACAAAATCTTATTACCACAGTCAGAAGTTGATATATTAAACAAAGGAAAAAATAGGATATTGATTATTTAAGCAATAACATTTACAAACTAGTCTGTTAGATATTCACAGAGCCCTGAACCCCACAAGAATTTAATTACATATGGGATACTTACAAAAGTTGGCCAGGCTCTGAGTCAACAAGAGAGTCTCAACAAATAAAATGAAAATTAAAACTCCAGATTATATAGACCTCATTCTATGACCACAATAAAACTGAATTACTTATCAATAGAAAAAAAAGAACATTTTAAAAAGATATCCACATGTTTGACAACTTAGAAAAATGGCCTCTTAAATAACTCATAGGTTAAAAACAAAATAACAATAGAAATTGCTAAACAGTGGTTAATAATGAAAGCTCTATATATCAAAAGTGGTGAATACAGTAAAGCAATGCTTAGTGTTAGACTTGTGCTTTTAAATGCATATATAAAAGGCCAAAAAGATGTAAATTAAATAAGCTAACTGTTAATCTCAAAAGCCAAAGTAATAATAACAGTAATAATAACAATAATAATAATGAAAGAAAATACCTAAAGTAAGTAAAGATTATATCAGTGTCAACATCCTGGTTTTAATGTTGCACTATACTTTTGCAAGATGTTATGTTTTGGGGACTGGGTAAAGGCTACACAAATTCTCTCTGTGTTATTTTTACAAGTACATGTGCATCTATAATTATCTCAAAATAAAAAGTTTATTTTAAAGAAAAGACTCAAAAATTAATTAATTTTAAAAAGAAACAGACCCAATTAATAAAACAAAAGACACTTAAAAATATCTTCACAAATCTCTAGTAAAATTGATTTTCAAAAGAGTAAAAAAAAATTGCAAAAATGTACACATAGAATTGAGATTTTTATATAAAAGATTTTTATATAATATGAAAACTTTATCAGACTAGAAGTATACACTTGAATGACATGGACGATTTTCTAGAGAAATATAAATCAGCAAAATTGACTCAATATAAAATAAAAACCAAAATGGACCAATAACCACTAAATAAGAAACTAATGAAGTTTTCCTCACTCTCCCAAGTAACAACAGCCGCCCTAGACAGTTTCATGGATGAGTTTCACCCACCCTTAAATGAGCATGTAATATAGTGCTTTTTCATAGAATATTATGAAACCACAGATGTAATTGTATATTCTCTAAGAGTCACACTAAAGAGGTGACATTAATTTTAATAATGCATTTTATTTACAATAGCCAAAATATTTTGTTTTGATAAATAATAATAAATAGAAATTTTATTTTTAAAGTATTAATGAGATAGTTCACATACTTTTTTATACTAAGACTTTGAAATCCAGTTGGTATTTTATATTTACAATACATTTCAATTCATGCTAACCACATCCAGTGCTCACTACCACACGTAACCAGTAATTACCATATTGTACAGCACAGCTCTAATCTCTGTTTCATACAATAGATGAGGGAAAGCCTGACATCAAAACAAGAAGAGTACAAGAAAAATACTGTAGACCAACCTCACTTGAACTATAAATGGAAAAATTCTAAAATACATATTACATCAAATGCATGTGAAAAAGCTGAAGGTCAAGAATATCTAAGACAATTTGAAAACAAACAAGAAAGTAGAACTTGGCCCACCAGATATTAAAGCTTTTATGAAAGCTAGGGTAAGAGAATTGTGTGATATTGGTGTAGGACCAAATAGGCCAAAGGAACAATATTGGGAACATGGTATGTGACAGAAGGCAAGAATGTCCTGTTCAGTTTGTAGCGCTAAGATAATTTTTTACCCATAATTTACATTTTAAAAAATTAGATCTCCGCTTAACATTCTACATAAAAACATATGCTAAATGTTTTGAAGACGTAAATATGAGTGAGAAATGACATTTTAAAACTCTAAAAGAAAATATGACTTTGTGGTAGGTGTCTTAAACAAGATCTCTTAAACAAAATCCCCAAAGCACAACTTATTTAGATAAACAATTTATTTAGGTACATTTTACTACATTGAATTTAAAACTTCTGTAAAACAGAAAACAACACGGAAACAAAATTTAAAAATCATTCCCAGGCTGGAAAAATATATTTACAATGATAAGACTAACAGAATAATAGGTCTAGAATATATTTTTAAACGCCCAAACATTAATAAGGAAAAAATTAACACACAGTTCTAATCCTATTTTAGACACACTATGAAAAATAGACAAAGAATATAAAATAAAATAAAAATACACAACAACAACAAAAAAAGAAACAGCCCAGCTGGTGTCTGTGATTCAGCGGTTGAGCGCTGATCTATGAACCAAGAGGTCACGGTTGGATTCCCAGTTAGGGCACATTCCCGGTTTGCAGGCTCCACCCCTAGTACCGGATGCACAGGAGGCAGCGAATCAATGATTCTCAGCATTGGTGTTTCTATCTCTCCCTCTCCCTTCCTCTCTGAAATCAATAAAATATATATTTTTTAAAAAGAAACACAAATGACCAATAAACATATGAAAAGTGTTCAATCTCACCAGTGATCAGATAAATGCAAATTAAAACAATAATGAGATGGCGTGCACAACTCCGCAGATTGGTAAAATTTCAGAAATTGATTCTGGGTATCATTGAGAATGTGGACCAATGGGAGCTCATACGCTGCAGGTGGGAGTATGAATTTGAATAGGCACCATTAACAATAGCTCATAAAGTTGATAATGTGCAGGCTCCATCACCCAGCAATTAAGCTTCTAACTAAAACACCCATAAGAAACTCTTCTTATTTATTACACAGACCAATTGAATCCTCACTTTGGGTCCTGTCTTCACCCCTCCAGACAAGGTCCAGAGGAGACTCCAAGTATATTACTGTGTTTTCTCCTAACAAATAAAAAAAAAACGTTTCCTTGAGATTGTGCCACTGCGCAATAATACAAAAGTTGCTACAGTAAATTTTGTTTAAAATGGCAATTTTCCTTCCTATCACAGATATAAATTTCATCATAGTTAGAAACGGTTGCCAGAAAAAGCAATAAAAATGCAAGCTATCTTTAAGTGCGGTTACATTTATAATAAAGTCCTCCATCCTTAGCAGGCCATGCATGCCCGCCTACTGGCCTGACTCTCCATCACAATATTGGCCCACTCTCCCCTAGCTCTTCCCCGCTCCAGCACATGGAGCATCACCAGCTCCTTGAATTCACCTTGTCTCTCACACCGAAGAGATCTTGCTGTTCCCTCAGCATGAAAGCTTTCTTCTCTGCCTCTTCATCTTGCTAATTCATGCTCAATTCACAAGTAGCATTTCTTGGCAAACAATAAATATTTGATAAGTAATTTTGGTCTGACATAGACTGGCCAAATAATCAAATGATTCGTCCTGTTTAACTATTTGTCTTCAGAGTTGAGTCTAGCATAACACCCACTAAAATCAGGTCACAAACTAGGAGCTGCACCCTGTCCAAGGAGAGACAGGTGAGTATGGTATTAAAATGCCAGTGGGAACAGGTGCAGGATCAAAAAGGTGAGCCATCTTTGAGAAAGTGTCCATCACCTACTGTTTGGCCCTGGCCAACCTGTCAGCTCTTGGGCACTGGTTCTCAGAACAGTGTTGTTCTGTGTGGTTGTCTGCCTATTTGCTCTTGCCAAAATTCCCAGGCTGGCAGGTTTCTTAGGGGTCCAGCTATCTGTGTGAACCTGTAGCACTCTAGATTCCGGATTAAATAGGCTGACAGATAAAGGATGATATGATATTCAAATAGTACCTCTCTAGAGCGCTGTGAATGTCCAGTCTCTCTCAGCTGCCCCAAGCTTCGGTGGTCTACATGTTTTGTTCTAGCATGCCATGCCCTCCCAGGGCAGGCTTATCCAGCTTCCTGGAAAACTGGTATATACACATTGGGACAAGAAGTTGACCAATGCCTCAGTCCATCATTATTTAAATGAAAAGAACCAATCACCCAGAATTCCCTGAAACATCCTGTCCTGGTACCATGACTGAGGGTATGGTAGAGTGTTTCACAGTATTAAATTCTGCAGCAGGATGAATGTTCACCCATAGACTCAGCACTCTAGGAGGAACTGGCTGGGCTCTCCCTCAACTTCTTGATGATCAATCACCAAAAACAACCATATATATGTTATCTTATAAGTTGTTCTCTTATTTCAACTTAAAACATTTTTCCTGCCCCCCTTTCCTCACTGTACCTTAGTTTCCGCATCTAATAAAATATAATAATACTGACCTCCTGGAGTATTTGTGGTATTAAGTTATCACTTAATAAATGGAATGTAAGGCTTTGTAAAAATATTTATTGCAATATAATCCACACACCATAAAGTTCACATCTTTAAAGTCTCTAAGGTCAATGATTTTTTGTTTATTCACAGAGTTGTACCACAATCTTAATTTAGAACATTTTTATATCCTAAAAAGAAACCCTGTACCCAGTAGCAGTCACTCTCTATTCCCCTCTCACCGTAGCCTCTGAAAGCCACTGATCTACTTTCTGTACATTTCATCTAAATGGAATCATACACTATCCGTTCTTTTGTGGTTGGTACCTTTCACTTAGTACAATGTTCTTCAAAGTTTGATTTGCAAGACATTTAGAATCATCTTTGGCACATGGTAAGTGTTCTGTGACTGCAACTGTTTGCAATTATTTCCTGGGCTTATTCTTTTTCAACAACTAAGTTCCAATTCTTTCTGAAATTCCAGTGATTTTCCTCTCTCTGCAGTATTTTCAACTCTTCTTTTCTATTTTCATCTTTGTCATGACATATAAACCCTCTCAAGCCTATCCAATATCTAGTTACTTCCTATCTCTCTGTCCGGAGAAAATGAATTTAAAAACTAGTCGACTGTTAATGCCACATTTTCCTATTAACTTCTCGCAGCCAGTCTAGCATTTGGTTGTACAAAGGGCTTCTTCTCTTAAAATTGCCATTGACTCTTTGAGATAGAACCTCAAAACCACCATGTTTGATCTATTCGCTTGAACTTCATGAAATGGCCAATATGCAATCACTTTTGTCTTACAAAATTTGGAGTTTTATATCATTCAGTCTGTCGATGCCTTCCAGCCAAAGAGTACCAGGATTACGGTTTGTCTAAGTGGATAGAGAGTCAGCTTGCAGACCAAAGCGTCCTGGGTTTGATTCTGGTCAAGAGCCGGTACCTTGCACGAGCCCGTGCACGAGGCAATCAATCAACGTTTTTCTCTCATATCAATGTTTCTCTCTGTCTTTCCCTCTCCCTTCCACTCTCCCTAAAAATCAATGTAAAAATAGCCTCGAGTGAGGATTAACAAAAAAACAAACAAAAAAAGAGTACCTGGATTACACCTGCAGTTGAACAGGGTTGATTGCTCCTTGCAGTGAGGGAGAATGAATATACACCATGCGAGTTAGAAACATAAGATTTGAGCCTTTCTTAGATGCTAACCCTCTGTAGAGGGGAGGAAGCAGGGCTTTGCTCTGGGCTGGATGCCGTCAGAAAGCAGAAACAATTCTGTAACCGGGAATCTTAACAAATCTAAGGTAGGAGGGGAAGTTAAGGGAAGCTATACCTGTAATGGACAAAGAAGCAGGAGTCATTCACATCAGCCAGGATAAGGGAATGTTAGTTTCTTCTGTGATTTGGACTATGTTCGTAGGCATGATCACAGAGTAGTCTTGTCTTTGTCTTGATCCCATACGGCCACTGAATGGCTTTGTCTGATGTTGATGTCCTGTACAATTGTTCGTGTTCAACAGAAGAGCCTAGTTGTGAGTGCTGGGTCAGTATGTAGCAACATTGTGGCCTGATGATAGCATCAGGCCAACTTCTGGATGTCAGAGACCGCATTTCTACTTCTCCATCTTCCTTCTTGAGCAAAGGCAGGTATATCCATGATATTCAGGTTCTCACTGCTGCTGAGATTTTGCTGATCAAAATCAGGGATGTTCAGAGAACAGAGCCTATAGTTCAACTAGGGTTAATCCCTCCTCCTTCTGTCATAGAAGTTGTTGAATTGTCTAACACAGTGGTTCTCACCCTTCCTAAAGCCGCGACCCTTTAATACAGTTCCTCAGGTTGTGGTGACCCCCAACCATAAAATTATTTTCATTGCTACTTCATAACTGTAAATTTGCTACTGCTATGAATCGTAATGTTAATATCTGATATGCAGGATGTATTTTCATTGTTACAAATTGAACATAATTAAAGCATAGTGATTAATCACAAAAACAATATGTAATTATA